GCAGCGTGAGTACCTTGGACATCGGCTATCCAGGAATGGAATTGCGAAGGGTCCGAAAGTGGATGCCGGCCGCCCAGATGCCGGAACCGACTAACGTGTCAGGTCTCCGATCCTTCCTGGGTTCCGTCCAGTTCTACGGAAAGTTCCTAGCGAACCTGTCGATGGTAGCCGAGCCCTTGCACCGCCTAACCAAGAAAGACGTACCTTGGCACTGGGGCAGCGAGGAGAAGAAAGCGTTCAAGACGCTGAAGGACATGCTTACGGCAGACGACGTTCTAGCCCACTATGATCCTTCGTTACCGCTGGGCATTGCTACAGACGCATCAGAAATCGGAATCGGAGCCGTACTGTTTCATCGCTACCAGGACGGGAGCGAGCGCCCGATTGCCAACGTGTCGAAGACTCTCAACAAGTCCCAGCGAAATTACAGCCAGATTCAGAAGGAAGCCCTGGCTATCGTCTTCGGCCTCAAGAAGTTCTACCAGTACATCTGGGGACGCAAATTCACGCTTGTGACGGATCACAAGCCTCTGATATCGATGTTCGGGCCGCACAAGGAGACGCCAGCGCTTGCAGCGAATTTGCCAGCGAACCGCCTACGGCCCGTGTGGCGTTACTCCTTGAGTCAGTTTCGATTACGAGAATCGAATTACCGAAGCCTGCCGCCACGGCAACGCCGATGCTCTAAGTCGCGCTACCTTACCGGGATCGGACGACATTTCGACGGGAGGAAGTGCAGGACGACATTGACCTAGTGTGGCAGATCTGAGTCCTGGCCCTACAAGTTAAGCCAGCGGAACGCGCAATTCATCTCGCCAGGGATCGGCAACCGACCCGGAACTCTCCAAGCGTCAATGCGATCACACGGAAGTTGGCCACCCTGACCATTCAGCAGAGAAGGAACCCGAAATGGCAAGATTCGCAAACTGTGAGAGTCACCTACTCAAATCTGCAACGTATGCGTTACTATGGATCCGGTGTGATTCCCCGCGAATCTTCGGCTCAAGTTCTGGAGTACTACATCTCGGGCACTTGGGATGCAGCGCGCATTGAAGCAGCTGGCTCGCACTGCTGTTTACTGGCCCTAATATCGATGACGACCTCAGCGAACACCTGCCCCGCCAAGATGCATGGCCTGCGGCCGAACTCAGAACAAACGTCAAAACCGCGTACCCCTGGATGATACAGAGAGCCATCGAGTCGACTACACATGGATCAACTGCCTGCAACTTCCTGGGTTTCGAATGGCTAGTCCTAATCGACTCTTACTCAAGTATCCCTGCTCCATCCACCAGGCGATTACGTCGGCAAAAGCAACAACGACTGCTGGAGCAGGACTTCGCCCACTTTGGCTATCCTCATACGCTGGTCACTGACAATGCGACTACGTTCCATTCGGCGGAATTCCAAGCCTGGTGCAAGGACCACGGCATCACTCATCTAACCGGCGCGCCGTATCATCCTGCTACGAACGGCGCCGCTGAGAGGCTGAACGAGTTCCTGATCCAGTATCGTCGAAGTCCCGACTGCATAGGAATGGGAGGATCCAGTGTACGCGCAGTACTACGGACCAAGACGTGACTCGGGAACCACGATGGGTGCCAGCGATCATCAAGAAACGACTGGGCAGTCGAAGCGTCAACGTCAGGGTAATCCCC